ACGTGATGTCGATATCAGACTAGCCAAAGCGTGGGGAGCACTAAATCAAATGGATAACATCTGGAAATCAAATCTACCCGACGATCTGAAAAGGAATTTCTTCAGAGCCACAGTTGGATCCGTCCTCACATATGGCTCTATCTCCTGGACCCTTACCACCAGTCTGGAGAACAGGCTAGACGGAGCATATACCCGTATGCTTCGCGCTGCGCTAAACAGATCCTGGCGTGATCACCCTACCAACAAGGAGCTATATGGTAACACTCCACCCCTCAGCCAATCTATCAGACGGCACCGACTAYGCTTTGCCGGTCACTGCTGGCGCAGCAAACAAGAACTGGCAGGAGACTTGGTCGTCTGGGCGCCCTCCCATGGCAGAAGATCACAAGGCCGCCCRAGAATGACCTATCCAGAACAACTAGCTAACGATATTGGCTGCCTGCCTCAAGAACATCCCGCTCTGATGAGCAATAAGGATGAGTGGAGGAGAACTGTGTCGAGTATTAGCCGAGCTAGCTCGACACAGTAAGTAAGTAAGTAAGTAAGTAAGTGACTCTGCAAATAAGTAATTTTAACTCGAGACCTAGTGAAGTTCTATGATAAGAGTCTAAAACTGAGAACTTTTCTAGTGTTGGGCATACATCGAGTGTCTGTAAATCAGTTACAACACTGATGTTTTATGCATGAGTGTTATAACTAACTAAACGGTTAGTTATAAAACTCATGTTTAATTAATCAGTGTTTATAACTTGAGTTATAGATCCTGTCATGTGACCCATAGTTGAATGCTCATTGGAAGAATGTCTAATGAATAATTCATGAGTTTTAGAAGAGATACATGATATACACCTATTTCAAAAAATGTTGTTGTGGCCAGGACACAGTCCACGGTCTTGAGCCTGAAAAGAATATCRGGATTGCCATATAAATTCAATTGTAGTTATTTAAAATACTGCGATTTAGAGTTCTGGTTTGCTTGTTAGCCTCAAAACCAAGTTACATATTCTTTTGTTTCATTGATAGCTCGAGAAAACGCATGGAATTTTAAAAGAGAGACAATAGAATTGATTTGAAATCTCACACTTTTATTCAGCACATTTAGGAATATTTTTTGCGTATAAATGAGGCTGACACAGAGCATATTAGAGAATTCGAAACTGGATTATTCTCGATCTCGTACCGAATAAARATTTGAAACTCATTGACGGTTTGTAAGCGTGGAATATTTTTCAAGGAAAATGTCTCAAGGCGAGACATGCCCGCAATAGTATATTAGAAACCACAATATATTTTGAATATATTAATTACGCATGGAAACCCCGAGATTCTTTGCAGGCTTAAGACTGTGGACTGTGTCCTGGTGACGACAACGTTTTTTGAAATAGGTGTAGAAATAGAGGAAAGTCATTAGTGCTTGAAGGGAGGCTATTGGTGTACAAATCCGAAGGTCGTGGATTCGAATCCCACCGAGGTCAGAAATTAAATTTTCCAAATTTATTTCCAAAGGGTCTTTCTCCCGCTATCCTCCTTCCAAGCACTAAATTATGCTAATTCTATTATATCTACCTCTTATCCTATAAACAAATCCAAWTATGACGTTCCAGTACGGTTAAGAAGTTGTAAGAGTTTATACTTGTTTGACAATTTTTATACAGGAATCGATCTCAGAGCGTTATTCAATTACTAATTAAACGTACAGGCGTACAGGAATCGATCTCTGGATTAAAAAAAAACTCATGTAATTGGACGTAGCCTACACGATTCAGTCTCACTCTGTTAATTTATTACAACTTACCTGGCCTTCATGCAACTAAAATAATAATTGGTAGCTCACAAATTACTTGATAAATTACTTCCACCGACACTTAAGTCCACCATATTTATTTTCCGAAGCCGAAATGTAATCGGAGAAGTCCGAACATCTTTTCGTACTTCTATTGTTCTCTCGACCAATCAGGATCGGGATCCATTCCTGTAATTAGCCGCAAGT